GGAAGCCTGTTCCAGTGTCTGACCACTCTCCCAGTAAAGAAATATTTCCTAATCATAGAATCATTAAGGTTGGAAAAGACCTCCAAGATCAAGTCCAACTTTTGCCTGAACACCAACCTGTCAACTAAACCATCCAGTTGTTTCTTGAACATGTCCAGGGATGGTGACTCCAACATCTCCCTGGGCAGAGGTCATTTTCTCTTGTCCTGTCACTTCTCACCTGGGAGAAGTGATCAACCCCACCTGGATACAACCTCCTTTCAGGTAGTTGTAAAAAGTGATAAAATCCGCACTGAATCTCCTTTTCTCCAGGCTAAATATCCCCAGCTCCCTCAGCTGCTCCTCATATGACTTATCCTAGACATTTCACCAGCTTCATTGCCCTTCTCTGGACATGCTCCAGCACCCTGTCCAGCCCAAACAGCACCTTTGAGATATTCTTATGTGTCCTGTCACCGGATACCAGGGAGAAGAGACCAGCACCTCTCTCACCATCTCCCTTCCTAAGGAAGCTTGAGAGAGCAGGGAGACTGCCCCTCAGCCTCCTTTTCTCCAAACTATCCAAGTCCAAAGTCCTCAGCCTCACAGAATGTACCTATCCCCCAAGACTGTAACTTAACACATGTAAAGCACAACTATAATTTCTGGTTTGAGCCAGCTGTTGGGAGCAGTTGGCCTTAAACGTTTGGACTAGGAAGAAGGACCAAAAATCCACTAAGGTTTGTTGTCCCTGCTCCCATTCCGATGTGTATTTCCCCTCCTTTCTTCTATTTGTTGCTTACCAAATTCACACAAAATTTTGAGATGTTTTCTTTGCATTTTTGTTGTTTATGGACACAGGTAAAGAATGAGTAATCTGCCATCTTGCTAATTTTACAGACCTCAAGAGCATCAGTGCTTTTCCTCAAAGACATTGTTATATACATGATATGTTCATCAAACAGATAAAACAGTCCTGCCAACAATGGAGAGGAGACAAGACTGGAAAAAAAAAAGCAGAAATCACAGCTTGCCACCTGCTTAATAAGTGCTATTTGGAGTAATCTCTTGCCTCTGTCATTAGTAAGCAATCTGTTACAGCAATAAAGGAATTTGTCAGGTATTATTTTTACAAACAGGCCTAATTCTATACCAGCTTCTACGTCCTTCTGTCAGAAAATTTGTGTACATACAGTAGGAAATAAGAGGGGCTTCAAGACATAACATTATGGAGAAAGCAGTGGCATTAGGCATTATGTTGAATTAAGCTGGATGACGGATCCATCTTTAAATTGTTTGATTTTACATGTTTCTCAAGAAAAAAAAATCAGGTAATATAAAGAAAGTGCTTAGGATAGCAAGAAAAAGCAAACTGTTATTCCTAGAGCTGGAAAGTTAATGTTTATCATTCTCAAGATTTAGACCTTCGCTAATGTATAACTTAATTTAGATAGTTACCAATATATGTAGAAGACTAACGCTAAGGATCAAGAAATTTGTGCTGCAATGAAACAAATACAATTGCTATTTTTTTCTAGATTTCAAAGTACAAAGGACCATTTTGCAGGCTCTCTATGCATCTATGGAATCACCTTCTGACTGCTCATCAGAGAACTTGAAAAATTAGGGGGGTAATTACATCAGGCAATGAGGTACTCTAAGCATTTATTGTTAAAAACAGAACTACTCATCAGATGATTGAAATTAACGTTTACTTTAGCTGTCAGATTTGATTAATCTCTAACAACATCATTCTTATTCAACTTTAGACACCTCAGAAGCAGCCAGATTAAAGCAACATAGCTCTACTCAGGTCAGCAGCCCTGAGATTTTTGCCCCTGAGAGGATGGGCCTGAGATACTCAGCAAGAACTTCAAACAGTCACAGAATTACATGTCAAATATGGTGCTTTGGTTCCCTAGCTCAGGCATTTTTTCACATTTTTGCACAGATCACTAGAAACAAACATCATCCCTACTATCTAAAGGATCCAAAGCAGTTATGTTTCTACAAAAAGGTCTCTTAAACTCAATTTTCAAGCTTGGTATTTGGCTTTGATTTTATTGACACCTTCTACTAGGATAACATATCTTCTCTAAGCTTGCATGGATCACTAACATCAGAATTCCAATACTGGATGTATCAACCATGGAGACCTGGGAAGTGCTGCAACCCATCGAACAGGTTTGCTTTCACTCAAAACATCTTAAACAGTAACATCCCAGTTTTCAACCAGCCTAATGGGTTTTGCCAAGCAACCACTTTAATTATAAACTTGATGCAGACGTGGTGCAGATTGATGCAAGAGAAGTTTCTCTAAAGGCTCAAGGGTAGGAACTCTCTTCTCCTGAGACAATGCGTGCCCTTCCCACCCAAAGAAGGGAGTTTTGAAGAGAGTATGGCCTAAAGTAAAGGTTACTGTCACCAGAGAACATCTCTCCTATCATTGGTCCAGCAGAGTGGATTTCAGAAGAATCTATTGCTCACATTACAGAAAAAAAAAAAAACCTCAAAACATTACCTGACATTTCATGTTTAATAATCAACACAGCAGCTTAGAAGTTTGAAAAATGACCAGTTACTGGCTTTGAAAGAAAGCCCATAAGACTTATTGAAGGCAAAGAAAACTTCGCCTTTTGGCAGCTTGACAAAGTCAAACTTGAGTCCGCAAAGTGCTCTACATGAAACTGTTGTCGTCATCAAAGGATACTGTCATTAACTGCTACATGAAAGCCACATTTTCACTTATTTTCCAAGCTGAGAAGGCTCATAGTATGTACATATATATATATATATATATATGTATATATACACACCCCTTTGGCTAAATTCTACTCTTGGAAGTATTTTTGTCTAATCATTGACTGCTTTTGTGAGTCTAGGATGAAAATTTGTTGCACTAGTTAAGTGAAAAGCAAAGGCCATGCTGTTTTGGAAAGCTCACACACCAAAGGAAGTGTAACACACACAAAGACTTACCTGCTTACACTTCTGCTAAAAGACAAGATAAATAATTATGCTAAGTATATCTAATGTTGATGTAGGTGCATATCAAGTAAATACAGTGTTAATATCTTATTGTTTGCAATAGAATTAGCAGTTTAAAACCAAGATCCATAAATATACCATGCTCTGTGCTCCTCTAATGAAGGTCACATTTTGAATAATTAAATACTACATTTCTGCTCAAGAATCAGGACAACTCTTAAATGAATCCTACTAGGTAGAACTGCACACAGAAAATGAGATGATCAGTGAAAGAGGTGAAAACTGGCAAGTTTGACTTTAGAACCATAAAGCTACATATGATGTTTTGATTTCATTTTTACATGGCACCTTTTAACTTTATATTACATCTATAATTTTTGGCCTTATATATTCTGTACATTTGAGGTTTATTACAAATATTCAGAAATTAAAAATTATGCATACTTTATCTATGGTCAGCCTTAGAACATAAAAATCATTAATTTAGCAATATTCAGTTGCAAGATCATTCTGTTGACATCCACATCATTAGAAATTAATGATTTAATAGTATATTACTTTAAATCTCTCCCCACTTTAGGTGGTTTTTTTGCATTTGTGCATTTGGTGAGCTTTCTGCTATTCTTTTTCTTACTTTCCCCACAAGAGAGAAATGAACTAATATGAACTAAAACCACAGGTATAGTTTGCAAGGTGCACTACACAAAACAACACAAAATACCTCAATTTTTTTCATGCACTAAACAGTAGAAATAAGATTAGAACTGTTTTTTTTAATGTAAAACCCTGTGTTTGTACCACAATGATTAAAAAAAAAAAACAAAGCCAAACCAAAACCAACCAATTCAAATAGAAAAATTTATAATTCTGATTTGAAAGCAGATCCAAAATATAACATGTTGGGAAACTAAAAGCACCAGGATATCCAGTAGGAAAGCAGAGTATAGTTACTATAGATGTAGCAGACACATCATCTGTATGAATTACCTGGGGAGAAAGTAACCATATGATGTGAAAGAAAACATCTTGAAACCAATCATTCTGTACAATGGAATCATTGCTTTCAAATTCATCCTGAACACCATTGTTGATATTTTTCCCTATCGGAAGGCAAGCAACAATTTTTGTTGTTTCTTTTCTTTCCTTCAGTCTCAGATATTTACTTGAGCTGACTCAAGAGCTCTACACACCATCATCATTTGTACCAGTTTCTGCATGTGAGATAAAGTATTAGTATGATACCTGGATGCTCTGGTACATCCAGGCCTTGCTCTATGTTTTAATGTTCTGCTTTACATTTGAAATTTACTCTAGAATCCTCATCCCCAAAACTGGACATGTACATTACAGAGCAAAAGAGTGAAGGTCACTCAAAATCCTGCCAAAACACAATATGGAGGTGTCCTGCATGAAGATACTATCATATTTATTTCAAGAAATACATATTTGCTAAATTAAATAAAAGTAACAATTCAGACACTGCAGTGAACTACCTGATAATGGGCATTTTCTGTCCTGGATAATTTAGAGACCTGCAGCATCGCCTCAATAATTTTACTTTCATATTTGTGAAACTTTGTTTCCTTAAAAGTGCACCTGCTTTATAAAAATATTACACATAATGTAGCCTTTCTATTTTCAGGTTGTATCTACAAATGATGACTTAATTTATGTTTCCAATCAATTCATATTAGAAGTGCTTTAGAGCTTAAACTGATGCAGAATTCTACAAAGTATAAAACTACCTGCAAAGCTCAATCTCAGGAACTCTATCAGCTACCTTAAAATGTAAAACAATAAAGACACAGAGCTGTGTGCACGGTGCTGATTTTTCCAAGTGTCTTGAATACTTCTGTTAACCTTGAGGCTAAACTTGCATTTTGTAGAAATGTTCACGTTTAGTTAAATAAGATCAAGCTCGTAATCACTTCAAGTGCAGCCAGCCAAAGAATAATACTTTTATGTAGCGACAAGTCTCCCTCCCTATTCATGAGCATTTATATTATCAATTAAAGAGCTCTTGTTCCACTTACTGTGCCACATCGGATACAGCTGGCAGGGGAGACTCTTCCGATACAAGGTCAATGTCATCAGTGAAACTGTTGGCCCGTGACATGTCTTGGGTGTTCCCTTCTAAACGTCCTTTCACTGCACAAAGAATTCAAAGAAATCATAGTACATTAGGGAGACAACATACACAAGCTCTTCCCATGGCTTGAGATACTGTGCAGCAGATTAAAGAAATGGCTCTAATATGAGACATATGTTTCTTTTTCATCAGAATCAGTAAAGTCAATGCTTACAATGTATGCCATACAAAAATACATATGTGCATATATACAGTTCAAACACAGAGGAACCTCTTACAGGAAAGGCTTGTCTTCTTGAGGGCTGTCTCCCTGTGAACACAAATTCGCTATATCCACAAATATCAACGTGGGCATAACAACAGAAACAATCAGCCTTTCATTTCCTCACTACCATTTGATACATATGCTTTAATTTCCCTAGAACCATTCTTTAAAATGTTATTGCTATGATCATATAAACAGAATACTTGAAACTTAAGTGCTGTTTGGTCACTATATTTGAGGGCATTCAAAAATTCTCCTAGGAACCAGGGAAGAGCCTCAGGTGTTTGAATGCAGTTGGCTCCACAGAATAACCATGATGGATACAAAGCTGTGGTGCAGCCCAGCTTATGTTCCAAGCATAGCAAGGGTACAAGTTTCATTACAGGTTTGGAAAACATATGATGGCCAATTAATGGAGTTTGCTCAGAAACTGCAAAAGTCAGACAAGTGCAGCCAGCCCTGTAACTGATAAAACCTGATGTTTTATAAAGCTCTAGCCTCAAAACTCATTTCCCTCAAGGGCTGACTTCACCATAAATGTGCAGTAAACACATACCCACCTTTCTGAGTTCAGCTGCATCAATATTCAAAAGCCATTTCTGCTTTAAGGTATCTTCAACGTCTTTTCCTGTATTTACTTCATTCAAAGGCTATTACGGATATCTAGCTTAAGTTGGTGTGATCTAAAATAGCAATTTTATTCATGATTACTCACACTTTCTAAGGAAGTTACCTATAAATTTTAATCCTTGAAAGCTTGGCAGATACAGTTACGAGCTGGCAGAGTATCTCGGAAAATGGATAGGATGGCACATATAAATTCAAGGGGGGAAAGAAATGTTTGTGTGTTGGAGGAATCACTAAAAGTAAGTGTCAAAAAAGTAGTGTCACTTGCATAGGCTGTGATGGGAAAGAAGAAGAAAACAACCCATATGGCAGAAATAAAAAAGTTTTCCTCCTAGAAAACAAAATCTTTTAAGTCTTAAGTTACTTCCAGAACAACACTTTGGCTGGACTGCATTCAAGCTAAATACTAAAAACTATACAACATCAGAGCTTACTATTGGAAGAGACATAATGTAAGTGGCAAGCAGTGAAAATTAAGTCTGTGGAGTGGAATTATCAAATAGCATAACTGAACACTGCTAAAGGACATAAAGTTACAAGGCTATTTTATTTACATCTGCTGCATTTAATCACAAATAAACTATGTGTTTACCAAAACTTCCTGGCACTGGGAACATGAACTTCTGTGCTTTTCCAGCATGACTGAAACACTTTGTCTGTTCTAGGGGAGCTTTATTTTGTGAGACCTGCCAGTTCTGCCCCTGTTCTGATAAGACACTTTTCCTGTAAGAAGTGTAGTCTTATTTTCAGACAAAGTCTTGAAATATATAGATCCAATATCTGACGTATTGCTTTGGGAAGCACCAGTCTCTAAAGAAGTAACATGGCACATGATCACATCTGCAAAATTAAACTGGGGGAGTTTTGGCTTCAACTACACTAAGGTTTACCTCACAGAAAGCTTGCAGAATTTGAGAGTCAGCTGAGGCAGAGTTAAGCTACTGTGCCTATATAAGGCACATCAAATTAAAAGGAAAACTCTGTGTTGCTATCAATTCCTACTACACAATTAATTGCTGAAAGGGTAGGAGAAGGACCTATTAAAGTCATGGCAATTTGCCTTCTTTATAGCACAGGAGAGATATTAAAATTACTGCAATGCATTTGTCATGATAAGTAGTAGGATTTTATTTTAGTTTTGTCATTTTAAAGGTTTGGTCCATATTGCCTTATCAAGCTTCTCTCTGACTCATCACACTGCTGTTTGCAATCTGCATACATGGGCCCTTAAAAACCAGAAAACCCTGATTGTTTACATTTGGCTTGCTAATTCCTTTTCTGAGAAGTGTTCACAATGGCTCTTGCTCCACACCATGGTAGTTGTGAGAAAGGGGGGACAAATGCAACGAGTTCTGAAACCTTCACTTCCTCCTGATTCCCGTGTGCTGTGCTGAGCAGCTCTGCTGTTTCCGTAGGGTGCACCTGGAACCTGCTTTTCTGACCAGGGACCTTCTGAGAGATGTGGAATATCATTAACAACCTCAACCAGGGCTTGGTTACCCACACAAGCAGGGAAAGTTCTATTCTGTCTTTATATAAGGCAAAAGCATTCAAGTTTTCTCTTTGGTGAAGACCTTGCTGTGATTATCTGTGATGGTCTCATCCCACAAGTAGTACACATACAATTCATTCCTACAAGCATTTGGGGAAAGACAGTTGTGGGGTTATATACTTTATACGAACAGGAGTTCTGTAACACATACTCCATAGTTCATTTTATCAGTTGATTGTGTATTTAAGTCCACAAAATAGTACCTGGGTCATGTCTCAAAGATTGCCTCACTGCTTCCTCTCTCCCCTCCCACACTTCCATGGCCAGGTCTGTGGACAGAACAATTTTTGCCATTTTGCTTACAGATTAGATTTCTCTCAAAAACCTGTCTCCAGCTTACGTAAGTATTAAGAGAAAGAAGAGCTACTCACAGAAGTGCTGCTCTTAAACGTCAAGTTAAAGTAGAAATCACAGCTCATAATATTTGGATGGTGATATTATAAGATTCCCTACTGCTCTCAGAGCCACTTGACTCAATTCAGAGTAAGTTCAGGCTTGTCTTTTGTGAAGTATTAAACCACCACAAGAGAATACCTGTTTTATCCTTGTAACCCTAATAAAAGTTATTTAATGCTGAATCCCTTCATGTTTTTATCACTGGTTAATTCTATGTGTTTCTGTTTTAAGATATTAACTCATTAATAATGGTTCTGGTCCATAAATTAACATTAATGGTAAATGCATGTAATATGTTCCCTTTTCTAAATATCTTCTGTCCTGAAAGTGACTGTTTTAGTTGTGAGTAGTTTTCTTATCTGAAACACTCTTTCTAGAACCAACTTGGTTTTCGAAGTTAACTCACTTTCCCTGAGTGACCTTCCAAAAATCATTTAGACAGCAATGTACAGTCATAAATCAAAATTCCCAAATCACACTAAAAGGAACATTTTTTTTCCTAATGTCAAGAACCCATAAGCTCCTGAGCAATAAAGTGATTCATAATAATCATTCATGATAATGCTTTGAGGAAATACGGAGCATTAAAATACATTCAACGCATGGCAGCGATGCTTTGAATTTTATTTCTGGAAAGTCGTAAGGTCCAGCTACTACATATGGTAAGTTTGTAACAGCTGCAGTTCAAGCCAGAACAACTATATCTTCCCTCTCTATATTTATTTTAATAAGCTTTTTTTTTCCAAACTGACTTTATGGGAATTAATGCCTAATGTTTGTGCTGCAGAACAGTAATCAGGAGAGACAAGGAAATGTGAAGAGGCAAGAGAAGAGGAGCCACCCTTCTTTCCACGTGTTACTACTCACAATATGAAGAAGCTCTACTTATTTCATTATAAAATATATAATATTTTCTGAGCATGAACAGTTGGAAGCAGCAAGTTGGAAATACAGAACGGTGTCTACCACAGTACAAAAACTAGTGAATGCCATGACCCAAGTAATCCCTGAAGCAGCTCAACTAATCAAATGAAACAGTCAAAAGAAAGCTAAGTTTCATATACCTCTAATTTCAGTGTCAGTTTCTAAAATGGTAAAATCTTATAATAAACACATCAAAACATAACCCAGAGATGTTTTAGTAATGATGTTTGGCCTTATCTAACCTCAGATTCCTTATCTATATTACACTAACTCCTGTCTTTGCAATATGGGGAAAAAGAGTTCCCAGTATACAACTGCAACAGAAAACATGACTGCACATGGTTCTCATTGCCATGGTCATTCTCAAACAGGCAGTGCCTACTAAAAGCAGGACAAAACAACACAGAAGATTTTGCACTAGTCTCTTCTCAGATAAAGAAGGTGAAAACCAGAAAAAGCAGGTCTCTTCTCCTGCAAATAATTCCAACCTACTCTTTTTATTACAAGTTTTTTTCATCTTCACAAGAAAGAACACCCAATTCAGCAAATTGAAAGGTGACTTGTACCATTCCGACATAGTCTACTTTATAAAAGTCTGCAGAGTATTGCAGTGGCTGCTTACATTATATAGAAGAGTACCTGCAGTTGCTCCTCCCAGGAGTACAAACACCAAAAAATTTGAACAAAAGGAGATATCTGCAAATTAAACCCGGAAAACACAGGCACACGTATAGAAAAGGACAGTAAATTTGAGACGGTTTTACATAAAACAGTTCCTGTCACAAGAATATCTACTTCTCAAATTGTTAAGTAATAAATCTCATGAAAACAACACAAAGTACCTGATGTCAGGGGAGAGCTCACACAGCAGATGAATAAACTAAACCTGTGTCCACAGCAGTAGAAAAATTCATGTATAGAGAATGCTGGTGAGGATATAACCCTGCTAGATGAAATGGGGGATGGGGGAGGCCTTCTCTGTTTATCTTGGGGTTTTGTTTGTAACCAACCAAGGTAAAACATCCAAGTTTAAGAAACCAAAAACAAATGCCACTGTTTCCCTTCAGTCTTTTCATCACTTTCAGATCAGAAGCTGTCAAAACAATCTCTTTCACAATGCCAGGCTGCACTACTCAATGTAACAAATATATGTGAAGTAAACATGTGATTTGATTTCATATGTAAGGCTGCACCTCAACAGAAAATCCTTGGGATGATTATGCTTCCTTTATCCAAAAGGAGGAACTACCTGCGAGGTCACAGCATTATGTCTCATTGGCTTTCTTGTGGCAGGA